TTGTCTCGACCTCCTCAAACATCAGCGAGGCCTCCCTCTCCTTACTCATGGTTTCCCCCAACGGCGCCACCTGCAGGCTGCCCGGAGCCCCCTCTGATGAGGATGTCGGAGCGCAGGACTCGACTGGCTGGGCGGAGGAGTCTGGGACGGAGCAGGAGTCAGAAGGTGGAGGATTGCTGCGGTCTGTGCTTTCAGAAAGGATCTGACCACGTGTGGAGCAGTCCTCACAGCCTCCTCCTGTCCCTCTGTTATCCAGACTCTGCTCGGTTTTCAGCTGAAGCGCAGGGCGGCTGCTTGTTGGAAGAGAGGCTGCTTGTAGCTGAAGATCTGCTGCCATCTGTCCGTACCCGATGTGGGACTGGAAATCTTCAGCCTTCAGGTCCAGGATGAGGGTATCAGCATGGGTTTCGCGGTCTATCCTGCCAGTCCTGGTTTGGAACAGAGGTGAAGACGCTGCACCGGGGGTCGGGGCAGCAGACTGACCCACTGATGAGGACAGAGAAGAGCAGGAGGCTGCAGAGGAACAGATAGACGAAGCAGAGGCTGTACAGATAGCCGCCACCGTGGGGGCAGCAGCCACCATCCCCGAGTCCAGGGGGAGGTCTCCATCTTCGCCTGCTTTTGCAGAAACAGACGCCTGCAGGTCTGGAAAGGTTGCATGGCAGGCCCTGACTAGCTCGCCGATGCCGAGCCTCTCAGCCAGCTCGTACAGCACCCCCACGTCTATGAGATCGATCAAAATCTCCCCCGTGTAGACAAACGTCAGCACCTTCTCAAAATTGGCTGCTGAAACGAACTCCAGTGAAAACACAGGAGGGGATGTGGGTGGAGCCCGGCTGAACAGGTTGCGAAAGTAACTCCCAGCACAAGCCAAAACCACCCGGTGTGCTGCGAAAGTCCGGCTGCCGACCTGCAGGAAGACGTCGCAGTATTGACGCGTCTGCCGGCAGCGGTTGAGCTCTGCGAGCAGCTTGGCAGAGTGGCCAGGACCCTTCAGCTGGATCCTCATCCCTGCTGCTGCAGCTCAAATCTTACAGACGACCTGCAGGGAAGAAATACAGAGTAATGGAGACAAAAGCACTTCTCAAAAAGTTAGATCATCATCTCAGACATTCCTACCAAAAAGCTGACTTAGTGCAGAATCAGCAGGTGTAACAGAAGACTATATAGAAAAGCTTATTGGACAGTTTGAGGGAGATTTATCGTCCAGGGGAAGCAGCTGGAGCTTCGAGAGCCATTTAAGAGGAAACAGAAAAGTATGACCTTCAATGTATTAATTGATTAGAGGTCCTTTAGGCTGATTTAATGTATCAGTATAGTCTGGAAAAGAGCTGACTGTGGTGATGCCATGATAATCTACCCATATTTGTTCTTTCTGCAGTGCGGAGAAAAGTTCTGTTATTTCAACACATTTTGCCCATTTCTTTTCCAGAAACAAGAACTCATCTGGAAAACAAACATACAGTACAGCACAACCTAAACCTGCTTCTCTTTTATATAAAGCACGCACTGTAAGCCCTGTCCTGCTCTTGTATGTTTTTCATACTTTTATTTTAAAGTATTTAAAATCATGCTGGAGAGAAGCCATGAATCAATACAAGACATATGCTTCCCTTTTTGAACGAAATGTTGCATACAATTTACAGAATAACGCAATTGGTTAAAGCAAATGAGCAAAAAGATAATAATATTAACTATCTTGAAATGTATCAAACAACGAATCAAGCTGTGGGGAGGATATAGTGACTATTCGTGCTCTGATTAGCATCAGTGCACCATAAATAAAGCTGATATGCAGCTTTTTCTATAAAACTACAGGAGCGACAACTTTGCTGAGAAATAAGCTAAAACCAGCAGGTGACGCCGAGTTATTCACGCTTATAAAACCTCCTCTTCGTCATTATCAGGACTCACCCATTAAAAGTGGTGTCAAAGCTAAGAAATGTCGTCTGTTTCAGTTTGTTTTCGTACTCAGGTGGTTCCTCACAATAATCACATTTTGTTGACCGTCGCTTCTTTGTGACGCATGACACCAATGTTTGTCATGTCGCCCCCTACAGTTTGGAGGTGATTCTGCAGAAAAGTGGAAACGCAAGAGATGCAGAAAACAAGACAAAAAAAAGCTTGCAGATTCACACAAATGTAAAAAAAAAAAAAAAAAGAAGAAGAAGAAAGTAAAAAGAAATATAAAAAAACACAATAAATACGTGTCTAGGCCTACAGTGAGAAATAGTTCAAATAGAAATAAAAACATGTAAAATTATTAAGAGAAGTTGCTCAACATAACGACTTGCATATGTATGGAGTGGCTAAAAACGTAAACAAAACATGCATTTGGTGTAGGAATAATAATTAAAAAAGCAATAACAGGAAATTTAAACTAAATGAAAATGGTTCTCCAACTCTGCAATAAACTTCCAGATATTGTGGAAGAGTGACTTTTTTTATTTTAACAAATTAACTAACTACTTCACTAATTAACAAACTAACTTTACTAAAGAATGAAAGAAACAAAAAAGAAACAAATAATTGATAAAATGAATAAAGAATGTCTTTTAATTTGAACTGTAATTTTTAAAATATCAATCATCATCTGTTTCGTTATAATCTAGGCTTTAAATTATTAAATTATTTATTTTTAATTAGAAGTAAATTCTTCAGTTAAGTAAATTATATTGTGGAAGTTTCTTTTCTCATTTTTAACTAAAAGAATTAAAACTACAATAATAACCAAAACAAAATTAAATAAAATATATACACCAACCTCATTATTACAATGAAATTGTTTTGATTTTTTTTATTTCAATTGCATGTGGCTGTTTTACTTACTTGTTTCTCCATAATGGGTGCATCTTTAAAAGTAAAGGGGGGGGGGACAAATATGGCCCAAAGACTGCCTTAGATAGACACCAAACTTTGACCTATGCCTCATTAGGGGGACATGTGGGGCCACACATGTTTGTAGCACACCTTGTTATCAGAAAAGTAAGACAAATAAGGCATGTAAATAATGTTATTTTCAACACCTGAATACAAAAACGAAAAAGAAGTTATCATTTTATGAAAATACATAGAAATGAAAGAACCAATTATTCTAACAGGCATTCACATTTTTTTCCCACAGGACCATTTACAGAAATGCTGATATGTCACAAAATAGGAAGTACTGCACAGTGCATAAAAAAACGCCTACAAACCACAGGGCCTGATAAGCAGACGGCCTTTTAAAAAGAAAAAAAATTATATAAGTATAAGATGTAGACAGTTTGATTAGTGTGATTAGACATAAACACTGAACAATTAATATCATGCAAATTATGTTAAGATATTTCTAAACTAATCTGAGTTCCTTGAAAGGAATGGATGTTTGTAAAAGGAGGTAAAACAGCAAAGTTCACTGTAAACTACTGAACTCATTGTTCTGTTTTTAAAGCGCTTAGGAACCTATTTGGATAGTTTGGCCATCAGAATATAAAACCAAGCCAAAGGTTTTCCCATATGAGTTTGAGGGGTTAGAAAAGGAACACAAACAGATTAAAAACTTTCAATACCCTTTTAAAATTAAGAATAAAAGTGCATCTTCAGACATATTCTGACAAAAGGCCAAAGGCTGAGAAGTTTGGTAGGATAAAAAAATATTTAAGACAGCAAAGGGCATATTTTGGATAAAGAAGGCAGTTCAAATCAGCTCATCAGCCGGAGGCCGTGGTTCTCAAGCAGAACCACTTTGGGTTTGAGGTGGGAATCTGCCTCAAGTTGAAGAAAATCTTGGCTTTAATTTTGGTTGAAGAAGCAATAAAGATAACAATGGAAGATTGCTTTATTTGCTGTAATATAAGAGCTAAACTATGGTATCCTTTTATCGGGAAGCCTGAACTCAGCTGGAAGGCTGAACTCTCTTGTTTTCCAGTCTTCACTTGTGGACAGATTTGGATCAAGACTGAAAAAAACAAGATCTGTGATGTGAATAGTTGAGATAATCCTCCCCCAAAGGGTCATCAGTCTTTGAGAAAAAATTAGGAGTTTAGAAAAGAGATGCTGCTTCTCTGTATCATTGAATTATCTTTGGGATTTAGGGGATCTAGTTAGTGTTCACATGGAGGTTTTTGAGGGCAACTAACCTGAACTAACTAAAACCCCTTGAGAGCACCTCAGTATGAGGAGCATACAAGAACATATGCTTTGATAAGGATACATTTCTATGTTAAAAGGAAAAGCAATTATCCAAAGACTATAGAGAGTCCACATCAATTAAGAAAAATAACTTCATGGTGGTGTGATGGTGTAGGACGGAACCTGAAGAATCGTCAGATTCCTTCCCTCTCCTGTTTGCACACAGGTCCCACAGTGCTGCACACAAATCCCAAGTTACTCCATTAACAAACATCCACCTCGTCCAGATGTCTGGCATTCCCTTTATAGACTCCTCAACCTTCTTTGACCAAGTAAGACAGTAAAAAACATTAATTTTTTTAATCTCATAAATATTGACAAAAAATCCCACAAGTTTCATCTGCTAACTGTCATCTCTTCTTCATGTCTTCACGTTTCACTCTACAAAACATAATCGTCAAAACTGCTTTAAACCACTTACCCACTCTGCAAAAACAAAATGACAGATATAACAGTCCATTTTAGGAGGGCTGAAAAAAATCAAACAAGTCGCACACAAGCAGAATTCCAAAACAAAGTAGACAGACAAACAAAACAATCTTTATATTGCTAATAAAAAACTTTAATTTTCATTTAAGTCATGAGGAATTCACACGATCCACAAAGTGTCCAAACTGCTTCATACTTTACTTTTAAATCATCAATACACAACAGTGATATAAATGTGGATAGCATCTTCATGTAGTCTCTCAACGATCCCGAATAAATGTTTCAACACATGGTTACATACTGCATGTTCACATCTGCTCACTGCTTCATGGAATGTACGGCAAGAAGAAATTATAAAAGACAAGGAAAAACAAACCTGACTTATTTTTAACAAATTGTTTTTTACAAAGCTGAGTCCTTTTGCTTGAACTTCGCGGGCATTTCATGGATTCTGCATCTGGATCAAGCTGTGTTTTCGCTGCTGAAACTGTTTATTTCTGCTGAACTGACTGAGATTGCGCCATTTTAGAGGTTCAAGTTTCATTCTTAAAGCATGAGAAAAAACAACAACAAAAATTTGGTCCAGTCACAACAAAATTGGAAGAAAATCATTGGATGTTGAGCGCACTTTCTGCTGCCACAGTCCACACCTTAAACTGTTGCTCTTCATCGTCACAGATGGATTATTGCACTTCATCAGGAGGAAGTGACAAGCAGACAGACGGGCTGTGCTAAGAATGACAGAAGACATTTCTACAGGACAGTATTTCAGCAATATGTTTGTGATTGACTCACTGGATGAATATTGCTTTCGTGTTTGATATGTTCAGTCTTTAGTCATTTTTTTTTTTGTTTTTAATTATATTCTTTGTATTATGTTCTTTTAGTCCCGCCGTGTTGTGGCACCACAGCTTGCTCCACTTTTTAACAAAAATCTCTAAACTCTGGCCATCCTCCAGGCTGTTAAAGCGCCGTCATCAGTCCGGGCTACGATACCCACTTCCTGGAGCCGGTTCGCCCCAGGCTGGCAGTGCTGGAACGGCGGGAGAGGACCGGAGTGGCGGCAGTGGGGGATGTCTCATTGGAGCATCCGTGTTGGAGCAAAATATCCATGCAGCCTTTGCTTCCTGTTTTTCTGGCAATCATCATTGGCGTCTGGCCTTGGCTGTCCTTTGCTTTCACATCAATTCCATACTGTTAGAGAAAAAAAGAAGGAGATAATGTTTAAACGATCTTATAACGATATCAAACAAAGAATAAAAAGATGAGCAGGGCATACACAGCTCTGTGAATCCACCCTAAAAATCCAACAAAAAGTTTTTGGTTCTCTATATAACCTGATTATTTACATCATCAGTCAAAATCAGTCTGAAAAAACATCAACAAACAGCAAAATATTACCAACATTACTTTAATCAAGACACCCTTAGTTGAGATGAATTTGTTTGTATATGGTCTAATATTGTAAAAATAAATTGAGAAAACACATTAACCGAGAACCAAAATCTAAATTAACATTAGTGTGTTAAAGTCAGGGTTGTTCATTGTTACCTAAGACTAACATCATAACCATATGGAAAAATAAAATAGAGCCACTTAAACTCCAAATGTTTATGTTGAACTCTTCTGTTGCCTTAAAATATTTTTTATTGCACCACAAGTCCAAAACAAGCCAAAATATACATAAAATTTAAAAATAGTTTTGTTCCATAGTGCTTCTGTTTGAGAGATATGACTATGGAGACGATTAGCTTCAATGACTGAAATAAACTTTCATAATTTAAATGTAAAACAGAGGGAGTAAGACCTTAGAAAATATATTTTTTGGGGAAAACAGACCAGAAATCTTAATGTTTTTATGTTGATATTTAGTTTTGGGGGAGGAACTATGAGCATGAAAGAAGCTTTAACATAAATATTTCAATTGAAACTAGATTGTGTGCTGAAATTAATAATAATAAAAAAAAATATTACATGTAAAAATCCAAATAAATTATAAAGAACTTCAAAATACCAATGATATCAGATAAAATCTAATTGTTCATTCCAACTCTTAATCCAGTTTTGCCTATTGCATGTTTTATGTTAGAGATGGATTAAGTCAACTGGGTTGTTTTGTAAGTGAAAACTGTTAGGTCATAGCAAAGATTTCTGATTGAGGCACATGTGTTCCTGGAAGTGCAGCACATAAAAAAGCAAAAGGAAGAAATGCATTGATTTAAATTTAGCGGCCTTAATGAGACAAATACTTGGAATTTCTCAAAAGTTACCAACTTAGAAGAAGCTTTCTGTTTTTACTCTATGACTAACAGGACCTGAATGAACCATTATAGTTCATTTCTATTTTATTTAATTTGTCTCTCTGTAACAATTTTGATAAGGTCAATGTCCTGAAAATAAATACATGTTAGAGCAGGGGACCCCGAATTTGGTTCTGGAGGGCCACTGTCCTGCAGGTTTTAGAGGTTTTCCTGCTTTAGCACAGCTGATTTTAATTGAAAGCTTATTAACAGGCTTTTGCTCAACTGCAATCATAATCAGCTGTGCTAAAGCAGGGAAACCTCTGAAACCTGCAGGACAGTGGCCCTCGAGGTCCGACTTTAGAGCAATGGATAGAAAACCCACCCAGACGAGCAGCTGTGTCATGACCACATCTCCCAGTTGGCAGGCAGCGTGCAGAGCCGTGCGAGGAGGCGACGGCGTTGCGGCCAGCTGGGTGTTGATTTGCTCCTTGGTGCTGTGGGCCAGGAGAAGCAGCAGCCGGGGCAGATCCCTGTCGGTCACTGCAGACAGAAGCGACGCCGGCCTGCTGTCCTCTGAGGCGAGCTGAAGGGGCGCCACAAAGGCCCGTTGCTCATACTTCGCTCGGATCCAGGACTCTCTTTCCTCTCTAGTGACATAAACGAAATCCAGTGTAAGAGTAAATAGATCCACAATAGGAAAAACATCAATGTTTATTTTGTAAGATAAACATACAAGTTTTAAAGGATAAATTTTAAGTGTGGTTAAGAAACTAAGGCTTAGTTTTAAGGTTTTAAAACAGACAATAAAATTTGTGAACATATCCAGAATATCTTGTTAAGTCCCACTATATATTTCCCAAACTATCCATTTGACACAATGCTGTGAGGCAAGAGGAAACTGCCACACCAGCTTTAAAAGTAGAAAACTTTAAACCTCTTTAGTATTCAAAGTTTCTCCATTATAATTAAACTAGACCCTGAATCCATTGATTATAAGGAAGTGTTGGTTTGGTTAGACGCACCGCGTTGCCGCCGGAGTGGGTTTGGTTCGGCCCTGTGTGCAGCTCTCCCACACGCTGTTTGCCATGTGGTTTCCGATGGCAGCCAGAACCTGCGTGAGCTCCCCTGGCCAGTCGTCCAGGTCCAGAGAGCGAACGCGGGACAGATGAGTCCCAAGGTTCCGGTGGATCCCCGAGCACTCGATGCAGATGAGGGCCCCCAGGTTGAGACTGGCCCAGGTAGGATCTGCAGAGCAATGAGAGGTGAGTGTATTTGCAGCACAGAAACAGTAAGATAACATGGGAATCATCCACTGTGGATGCTGCCTTCAATCTGGATTATTGTGCACAGTTTAAACTGAACTTACTCGATGCTTCACAGTCCACACACAGGTTGTTTCCTTTGGTGTTCCGGATGGCCTGCAGGGCCACAGCCTCGCTCTGACTACTCCGCCGTGCCTGCCCATACAAAGTATTATATATTTAGAACTTCATCATTTTTATAACCATGGGATATTTAACCTTTCATGGTTTAACACAAAAAAAAATCAAAGCCAAGTTCTTTAAACCAAGCATAAGAACAACTTGAGCTTTCACCAGACCTTAACATAAACATAAAGCTGACATGAAATTATTCTCGAGTCCCTATTTATCTGTGCTTAATTGTTGCACAGAGTCTCAGGTAAAAACTATTGCTATTGCTGACCTCATGTATACTTAGATTTTCTTTCCCATGGAAAGTACTCCTTGTCAGGTGCTTTTGTGTTCCTAGAATCAGCTAATGGACTTCTTTGCTTCTGTGCCTCTCTGTAACATTCCTTCTTTCCTATTTATACAGAGAGTACTAACGCTGCAGTGCTTCTTCATTTTCATGCGTCTGCTCGGTCCTGTGTGGCATGCAGGGTAGATGGGAGGACTTCCTCTCTATTGTTAAGTGCTTTCTCAGATTGCACAGAGTTGGCTTTGGCACAATATGACTAATAAGACTTTATAATTCTGATTGTGAAACTGATTATCATAATATTCCATAATGGGATGAACTCAGCTGATTTAAACTGAAGTGTGACATAATTGTGTTGAACTGGGAGTAAATTGGACCTTTGAGTTTGATACGGTGCCTTGAGAAGTCACTCTTTGCAAACTTGTGATGTATGAATAAATGTATCCCAATAAACAGTCATCTAAAGCTAACCTCCTGTTGACTATAATTCGCTGCTTTTTAAGTCTACATTGATTTTGCTTTGTGTTTTCTGGATAGTTTTGACTAAACAATTGAAATCTGTCTGAAAATAAAAACAGAATTGTACCTTATTTCTGCCGCTCTCACAGGACTGCAGGCTGGCCAGGATCTGGCTCTCTATAGCCGTCACCCATGAGTCCCTCTCCTCCAGGCTCTGAGCCTCAAAGTGCCATGTTTGGCCAGTGAAGGAAACTATAATAAAGTCTGCATTCTCCTCCTCTGCAGGTAAAAGAAAATACATGAAACTGTGGTCAGATATGCACAATTTCTACAAATTTAATGAGGGATAAACTGATCAGCATGTTAAACAAAAAACGACAAACATAAAATGGTACAAAGTATAACTTTGAGACATGAAGAAAGGGAAATGTTGGGGTTATGTGGATGGAAAAAGGTCCAATGGACACATGCTTGGAAAGGTTAAAATGGCATGATTCTGAACCCTCATGTGTTACCTGTCTTATTAATGTTTCTCAAGCTACCAAAGCTCTTTAATTTCCACATTTTGCGTTTGGCTGCAGAACGAGAGATACGCACAGGAGAAGGAAAAGAGAAACAGAGAGACGGACGGTTGAGCTGTCAAGAAAGCTTTAAAGAGTAACAGAGATATTTGATCATCCATTTTTAGACTGAAGAGTCAGACAGCAACTCCAACTCTAGGAATAAGATGTTTGAAGTAAAACAAGTCTCTGCTGAGAGCAGTAAAGCACAACATTCCCAGAATATTTGGATAATTTCCCAGTAAAAAGCAGCATTACCCTCAGCTTGGCCAACAGCTGCATCCCCTTTCTGATTCATGCTTTTCTTCCTCCTGTTTTTCTTCCTGTCACTCATGGGAGACGCTTGGCCGGGATCTTTTCCGGCAAATGGACCGGCGGTCCCTTCAAGGCCATCTAACATTTGGAAAAAAAGTAGACATTAACACAGAAAAGCACCGTTTGTGGTGGTAGCAGGGGTTCCTAGTTTAATTTGATGTGATACACTTGCCAACACTTTGTGCTTTAGCGGACAGTGATGAAGGGCAGCGCTGAAGTCCTTTCTCGCCCCCTTGAGGAGACAAAGCGCCGGGCCGGTCATCGGCAACAGACAGAGTGGAAGGACACAACTGAGGAACTGCCAACCAGAGAGAGAGAGAAACAAAGGATTATATAAAGCAGATCTTATGTTATTTGTCAATAAACAGACACTTTCATAACGATCCAAAAGTCTCTCTTGAGAAATAACAAATAAGACAAGAGTAACACCTTTCCCATAGAAAGTACCCCTAGCTCTATTTCTCTCCTGGACATGGTCTCTAATGGATGTATTGCTGCCTTATTGTTTTTTCTTTCCCATAGAAAGTACCTCTTTGTTATTTAACAATCCATTAATAAAGGTATGACTTCCATTGACTAAGATGCTTTTGTTTTTGTTTCTAATGGTGAGTATTCCTCACTTAGTTCTGTTTTTATTTGATTTTTAGACAAATACGAGAGCATATCCTACCAGTAACTGTTTGATTTCTTCTTTTTTCTTTCCTATAGAAAGTGTTTGCAGGTCAGATGCTCTACCTAAGCTGTTACTTTCCTGGTACCTGACCATTGATAGAGCTGTTGATGCCTTTAACTATAATAATTTTTCAGTTTTTGTTGTTGTTGTAGAAACTACCTTTGACCCACTATTTTAATTCCTGGACGGTATCACAGAACAAACTTCTGCTGTTTGGTTTGAAATTGTTTTCTTCTCTCATATAGAAGGAAAAACTATTTTTTGTTAACCTGAGATTCTTTGTTTAATCACTGATAGAGTTATGGCAGCCATAGAAAGTACTGCTGCTGCAACAATGCTTCTGAGAGGTCATCAGGAGAGGGCATCAGTTCTATAGATTCATTTTTGGTATTTGTCCCCATTGAAAGTTTTCTTAATCATATTCTGTTAATTCTCCCTTTAAAGGAGATAGCTAAAAAAAAAAAAAGGAGATAAACATTGAGCTGATTTAAGGTCAAACCTAGTATGCTGTTAAACTCAGCATGGTAGGTTAAAATAGGGGAACCAGTTAAATTAGAAAAAATTGTGAAAGATTCAACGATGAGGGAACTTTCCATGCGCAGTCATCAGGTATACCTGTACTGGTGCCATCAGCTGCTGCCGGTTCCTTGCTAAGCCCGTTAACTCCAGGTAAAGCCACTGGGGGCACAGGTGAGGGGCCGGCAGGTGCCACGGCTCTGGGAGGACGTTTCCCTGGAACTTTGACCGTCACACGCAGCAGGTCGATCTCCTTCCCATGGATATTCTGGGTGTAGTCCTGAGATGAGTGAGAGGTAGCTAAATATTACCTCGACATGTCATGCTTAGGTTCTGTTGAATAGTCCCTACATGACATTCTAGGAAAAAAGTCATAGCTACATTTTTTAGAGCACATTGAAGAATTAGACATCTTTTATTGTCATTTTGTATACGCAAAGTGTATACAAAACAAAATTTTGATTTGTACAGTTTTCATGACATTTCCATTTCTTAAAGTGCAGCAGTGATCAAATGTAAACAGAGTGGGAGAACAAACATGGTGCGAAAAAAACGAAGTTCAGAGCATTAAATATATAATCATATTTTGTTAATTTTCCTATTAAATTAAATAACTAAAAAAAAGGACTGATTTAAGGTCAAACCTAGAATCCTGTTAAACTCAGCATGGTAGGTTAAAATAGGGGAACCGGTTTAAATGAAAAAAATGGGTGAAAACTTCAACGATGAGGAACAGCCTGAGGAACATTTATTGGGGCTATTTCTATTCGTAATTTTGCTAAATCTTTGTCATTTTAATGAAATTTGCATAAAAAACAATTTTTTTGGCACAATACATTTCGTACAAGACTTTCACAGCCCTATTAGATCAGAGGAATGGCTTTTGGACTTTTTATCTACGGTCCAAATAATCAGTTTAAAAGTGCTTTAAGGCCAGAACTATGTGCTGCAATATTAAAGCACTGAATAAATTGCAAATTTTTATATATATATATGTGTATATATATATATATATATA